CAACAATTGATATCAGAATCAATAAATTCTTTTGACACCCAAATTTAGGAAGGATCACTTCGTAAGATACAAAACAATTATCATGGTAGAATATTGATTTTACTGGCTAACCATAAAAAGAAGGCTAAGGCAACTGCTAGATGTTAAGTTTATCAAGTTTACAACGGGATCAAGCATATTATTGGCTTCTTTGCACCCTTCCCTATTTTCCATGAACCTTTGACGTATATAAGCATGGACTTTTTACTTAGTTCGCCAAATACAACTAAAAGTCAAGGATCAATTTTATAGAACTGAATCATTTTGCCCAAAATGATGGCTCATTATATATCATGTTCCAAGACCATGGACGCTTCTAACATGACCAATTGCCAAACTCTTTTTGAAAGAAGCAGTTCTCATGCAAGGCTTACCATTATCAGTTGTCTCAAATCATGATGTAAAATTTCTAATCAACTTTTCTCATACCTTGTGGAGTTGGACATAAACTAAGTATTTTACACCATTTCATCCACAAATTGATGGAGAAACTTGGGGTCGTAAATAGGAGTTTACGAGACTTCCTGCGCTATTGTGTTTGAGAAGACATTGGACCCTGGGACCTTGTTATTCCCAATGGTCTGTTTGCCTGCATTAATTTTGATTCTAAGCTTATTTGAGTACTTCATGGATATAAGACCAAGAAAGCCCAGTAATTTGGTTCCCTTGCTTGTGGATGCTCATCTTAAGTATCGAAGCAAAAGCTTATGCTATATATGTCCATGAGACACATGTTGAAGTTACACGACATTTTGTTTTAAGCAATGAAGAAACAAGGCCTTTGTTGACTTTTTTTAAAGCAAAAAAGAAGAGATGTATTAACACCACATCAACGAGATGCAACATAATTACAGTAAGTTTTACAAATCAATCAAATGTTGATAAGATCTATTAAATCCCTTGCAAAAATATGAGAGTGGCCCTTAGTTAAAAACCAAAGGGTTTAGAAGAAACGACCCAATGAACTTTGTCTGAGTTTCATGCTGTGTCAAACATCAATTGGTTGTGTACTTTGGACTCTGTTACATCGAATTTTCAACCCATGACAATGAACTTTATGGTCCATGGAAGTCGGGTTCATTGAAAGAGCTCTCAGCATAATGGCCTCCTCCACTATTGTATCTTCTAAAGATTGTTCTATGGCATTGCAACATATATTAGCAGAGTTCGATCTCATTTTTCAAGAGCCAAAAGCACTACATCCAGTTCGTGCATGTGATCATCACATCACTCCATTGTCGGATATTCTACTTGTAGTTGTGAATCCTATCGTTATCCACATTTTCTAAAAGACAAAATCAAAACAAAAATAGTGTGACTCTATGTTACAAGGGACTGACTCGGCCTAGCCAATCTCCATTTTCATCAACAGTGTTGCTAGTTAAGAAAGCTTACAAAATTGGCCTTTCCACATGGATTTATGCCCTTAGTTCTCATACAGTAAAAGATAACTTCCCTCTTTAAGTAATCGAAGAATTACTTAAAGAACTTCATGGAGCCGCCTTGTTCCAAAAACTGGACCTTCATTCCGGATGTCACCAAATTAGAGTGGCACCCCAAGATATGGAGAAACTTCTCTCTGAATGCATCATGGTTACTTTCAATTTCTATTAATCCCTTTTGGCCTTACAAATGTTCCTTCTACTTTTTAGCCATTAATGAATCATACGTTTCATAAGCATTTGAGGAAATTTGTTATGGTTTCTTTGATAGTCTCATCTATAGTAAGTCTTGGATGGAACATCTACAAAATCTTCATATAGTTTTTGCTAATCTCCCATAACATCTCTTGTATTTGAAATCTTAATGTATCATGGCAAAAACTTCTCTCGCTTATTTATGGACATGTTATTTCTCAAAAGGGAGTTACTGATAATGAGAAAATTGCAGCCATGCAACAATGGCCTTCACCTCAATCCATTAAAGCCTTATGGGGATTCTTAGGTCTCAGTGCAATTACCGCAAATTAGTTAAAGAATATGGTGTCATCCAATATGCTCAAGAAAAACTATTATGTATCATCCAATGATAGCCTTAATGCTTTTGAGAAACTGAAAACAGCTATGACTACTACATAGGTTCTAGCTGTGTCAGATTTTTATCAGACTCTTATCATTGAGTGTGATGCTTCCAATAGATGTTTTGCTTTTGCTCTGCAACAAAATGGTCACCCAATTACTCTTTGAAGTCAACCATTAGCATCAAGAGATGTTGGAATACCCGGTTATGAGAAGGAGTTGATTAGGTTAGTCAAAATCATCTGCCATTGGCGTCCATAACTACAAAGACAACAGTTCCATATTCAACAAACCATTACAGCCTCAAACTCAGCAATACAAAGCCATTAAGAAAAATATGGTGGTTGATGCATTGTCACGTCAGTTTGAATTCGCTTCTGAATGCCTTGCCATTTCACTTCCTTCTATTGATTACTCTGAAGGATCCCGTGAGGAAGGTAAAAAATAAAATTCTCCCTCCCTTCAACAACTGGCCACAAGAATTCAATAGGTTGATTTGAATCAGAATTAATAGGTGCAAGATGGATTAATCTTATATAAGAACTGGATTTTTCTTAACCTAGATTCTTCTTTCTGTGAGTTGCCGATGACTGTCATTAATCAATTCCACAACAAGTATCAAAGACGCTCAAACACATTTTTATTGATTTCTATTGGAAAGGCATGAAGGTGAAGGTTAGAGATTTTGTTTGTTCTTGTATTAATTGCCAACTGAATAAAGTGGAAAATTTGCAACCACCTGGATTATTACAACAATTACCAATTCCTTCTGAAATTTGGGCCGACACCTCAGTTGACTTGGTCAAAGGACTTCCCACTTCTTGCGGCAAAAATGTACCTTTGGTGGTCGTGAACCGTTTTTCAAATATGCTTACTTTATATGAATCTCACACCCTCGTACTGCTATCACATTAGCTCGACTCTTCTTTGATCACATTTTCCACTTACATAAGACTAACAAAATCAATTGTTAGTGATTGGGATGTCATTTTTACTAGTGTCTTCTGGAAAGAACTTTTCCGCATAAGTGGAACTAAGCTTGTTTTAAATTCAGTTTATCATCCCCACTCTGATAGTCAATCTGAGGGTAGTGAATTTTGGTGATATATCTTTGTTATTTTTTTAACATAGATGTATCTTTGTTGTTGTTGTTGTTTTTTTTTTTTTTTTGAAAGAAATGTATCTTTGTTGTTTTACAAGACATCATCCTACTAAATGGGCTAAATAGATTGCTTGCACTGTATATGCTCACAATACCAGTTTCTATTCTTCTTTTGAGGCTACTCCTTTTGAACATCTATAGCCGGCCAGCCCATAGACTTCTTTCTTATTGTCCTGACTTATCTAAATTGGAAACAGTTGATTGTGAATTAAAGAATCATGATACGGTGTTGGACATTCTAAAGAATCAATTAGTTCAAGCTCAATAAAGGATAAAAATGTGTATGATGCCCATCACTGGAAGTACAATTTCAAATGGCAGATTCAGAGCTTCCTAAACATCAATCCTGTCGCCAGTTTCTCCTGGCCAAAAGAGGGTACAGAAGCTGGCTCCAAAGTTTAATGAGCATTTCAAGGTGCCCCAACACACTGATGAAGTGCTACAAGCTGGAACTGCTGCCAAGTTCCAAGTTACATCCGATTATTCATGTCTCCTCACCCAAATCCTTTCAAGGAAAAAAGGATATTTCTCCGACTCTTCCAACTATTGAACAAGCCTCCTATTCAACTCCATAAGCGTAGTTTCTGCTACCACAAAGCCAACTGAGTTCCTATTATTTGGATGATTCACCGGCGGAGCT